AAAAAAAAAAAAAAAAAAAAAAAAAAAACGAACTCCACTCCATTGCTTCAGGAACACAGCACAATGTTAAGAGATGAGTTCAAGAAGACAAAATTCCTTTACTCTAATGTTTTCATGATTTTTTCATAAAGAAAAACTAGAAAAGATAAAATAAGTACTATTAATAAACAACAGCAAAAAGTGAATTTCAAGAGAACTGTAAAATAACTGGGAGTTTTTAGTTACTCCTTGGATTAAACTGAGCCAATAGCGCTACAGATATGCTTGATGGAATATGCAACATTCAGGAGGGACACTGTCACAAAAGAACAAGTCAGAGAAGAACCAAAGGACAAAAATCAAAGATGAAGAAGGATTTGAAAAACACTACCACTGGTACACAGATACAGAGGTAAAACGGATAAAAAGATGCAACTCACTCTGTGCATGTGCCCTCGTGTGTAAAATTGTGTGTTCTTATATATGTAGCCTCATGCTATCTTAACACTAAACTACCACTGATACTCTTTTAAAGTAACAGAACCTAAATCTATATCATGAGTTAGTTAATAATTATAAATAGTTGCCTGTGCACCATGCTTGACCTACAGAATCCATTTATTTTTCTATCCTTCTTCCTTTTTGCTTTTTAATTTCTGAGGGTAAAGTCCAAGCATCTGTGTTGGGGGTGCGGAATGGATAAACTAGGGGGATGGAAAAACCTCCACAAATGATTCTGATGTCTAATCCTGAAAAAAACAGAATTTTAGAAGCATAAAAACAGAGTCCATCACTTATGACAAGGTTTCCAAAAACAGGATATCTCTTAAAACATGCTTAAAACAAACAAACAAACAAATGTGTAAATTACCAAGCAGAGGAGTGAATTATGGATTGCCATCATAAATGTACACGTAGCCTGACTTACCAAAAATGTTGCCTATTCATTATCACTTCAGATATGTGTATCAGTAACAACACAAATTAATTTTAACTTAAATTTAGCTCCCTAACTATAGCTTAAAATGCCTCATACCATGATGTAAAACTGGATAGAGGGGTGCTTGGGTGGCTCAGTCGGTTGAGCATCTGACTCTTGATTTCAGCTTGGGTTGTGATCTCAGGGTTGTGGGATTAAGCTTTGTGTCAGGTTCTGCACCGAGCATGGAGCCTGCTTGAGATTCTCCCCTCTCCGTGGCTCATGCTATCTCTTTCTAAAATAAAAATAGGGGCGCCTGGGTGGCTCAGTCGGTTAAGCGTTCAACTTCCACTCAGGTCATGATCTCGCGGTTTATGGGTTTGAGCCCTACATCGGGCTCTGTGCTGACAGCTCAGAGCCTGGAAACTGCTTCAGATTCTGTGTCTCCCTCTCTCTCTGCCCTCCCCTGCTCACACTCTCTCTCTGTCTCTCAACAATAAATAAATGTTATAAATAAATAAATAAATAAATAAATAAATAACATACAAATAAAAAATAAAATAAAATAAACTGGAAGAAAGATAACTGTGTGCATAAAGGAAGACTGTTACTTATCTCTTCCTATGAATCGCCTGCATGTCTTGCAAGGCTAGACAAATTGTGTGACGAAGTTAATGTGTTATAATGTATTATTTCTCAAGCTCTGAGAGCCATGGATAAAATGCTTGCAGATGATTTTCTCTAATAGCTATTTAATGTCCAGTAAAATATAATAAAGGAAAAAATATTAAATTATAATTTAGCCAAAAAGGATATGTAGCTGAAAAACCTCTAATTCTTGACATGCATAAGATTATTTTGCCAATCTAAAAGAGGTCAAGATGAACTTGGTAATTACCAACATGATTTATCAAAAATGTATGTTACTAAGGATTTCCAGAAATGATTTGGAAGGATCTTTAAACTCCAGTAGTAATATTTTTAAAAAGTGACACATAGCTGTTTGGATATACAACATATATGTGCTTTACACACACACACACACACACACACACACACACACAC